AACGTTTTGGCTATCTCGGATTTTCGATTTTTGAAAATTTTGATCACGTGACATCTTGACCTTTTTTTGCGGAGTGACCTTGATATTTTCCCAACTGAAAGTCGCAATTTTGTCTGATGACGATTAAAGCCTTATCAATCGTCATTCATATGCGACAATAAAAAGTGGCTTTCGGCCTGCGTTGACCTCAGGTCAGGTCATTTTTTATGACCTTCCCATTATTACGAACGGGAGCGACAGCGAGATCTCGAGAACAAAGCAAGATAGCGACAAGCGGTAAACGGCACAGGGTACATATGGATAAGGTCTACAATTTTTACTCAGGTCATTTTCAGGTCAGGTCAAAGATGACGTCACAGGGGTAAAAAGAAAGTGTAAATGGCGGCACTACATATATATGAAGTTTTTCTCGAATAACTTTCTAAGTATCCCAGCTAGGAACAAACTAATAGCACCATCGTAATCCTCTCGTCGATCCGCATCGAAACATGTGTATGTTGACCTCGGAAGGTCAAGGTCAAAAGTTTACCTTAGGTCACGTAACCTTAAGGTCATCATATATATCATTCGATGGGCCTTGACGAGCTGAACACAATGAGCCTATCCGCGCGGCTGTATCTCAAACATGTAAGGAGTTATTAGCAAAAAAAAACATTTGGTGACCTTTAATGACGTCACATGACCCAAGAGCATCGTCACAGTTGACCAAGAGCAAAAAAGGTCTCAAGGTAGTCAAAGTTAGTCGCATATGGAGTCACTCATGGTATATTAGGCAATTCCGACGCGTTTTAGTGTAAAAATAAGGGAGCTGATTTTTCCCCAACTGACTTATAATGGGGTGGTCAAGAAATTGACCTGACCTCAGGTCATCGGTATCGAAATTCAAAACGAACTGGCGCTAGGCGAAAGCAAACGGATTGGTGCCTATTCTACGTCTCTTTCTTTATTAGATCAAAAGGTACAGCAAAAAACGGAAAATTATTGTGTGTTCAACGCGTGACCTCGGATGACCTTTCAGCGGGTCACTGATACAAAGCTGCACCAGTGCCATCAATAATAGCCTAACTCAACATGATTCAAAAGTATTTGAACCGGTCAGATGCGTTTCGGTGGTAGCCGATATTTCTGCCATTGACTTATAAATGACAGGTCAAAAAATGACCTGATCTCAGGTCAATGCAGGCCGAAAGCCACTTTTTTATTGTCGCATATGAATGACAATTGATAAGGCTTTAATCGTCATCAGACAAAATTGCGACTTTCAGTTGGGAAAATATGAAGGTCACTCTTCGAAAAAAAATATTAAGATGTCACGTGATCAAAATTTTCAAAAATCGAAAATCCGAGATGGCCAAAACGTTTGCTGGTTGATTGCGAGTTGAACCATATAAAGTTTTTACCATAGAAAACCAATAGTTTCTGAGTTATAAGCCGCCAAACATAGGGTTGCAGCGTGACCTCCAGGAATTGCCTGAGGCTATATCTCGGAAACCGTTGTTCGAAGAAAAAAAATCCTTGGCACAGCTGGCTTCCCCGCCCATAACAACCCATTAGACCAATTTTAAGCAAAAAATAAAATATGAGGGTGTACGGCTTTGGTCGATCTATCTTGGTGAGGTCACGAAAATGACCTGACCTCATATGACCTTTAGGAGAAGTCTGAGACATATAATTTGTGAGACTCCTAATGGATACTAGGTCCTGCAAGTTTCATTTCCCTGTGAAAGCTCCTCTGGCAGTGAGGGCGTTGCGAAGTTGCGACATCTGAAGACCGTGCAGAGGTTCACTTGTGACGTCATACATAGGTCAGTGACCTGACCTGACCCGAAAATTCGATTGGTATCAAAAGGTTCGACTTGAATCAATGGTCAGGTATGCCAAGTTTCAGCTCTCTATCGCCAGCGTGTTCGGAGCTATCGCGAAGAAAAAAAAAACATATGAGAGGGGGCGGCGCCCCTCCCCTCCCCCCCCCCCCCGCCTCGGCCGGGGAGGGGGTTAAATTAGTGTGCTATTCTCTCGTTAGCCAGAAATGACCGTCGCGATTGTCTCAGCTTCACCTGACCAGCTTCACCTGACCTGGCCACCCCTCTGGACCCCTCTGACCCCCCCCCCCCCCCCCCCCGCAGGCACGGGCTCGGTGGGCGCCGCGGTCTCGCCGCTGCTGGCCACCCCTCTGACCCGCCGCTCCCCCCACAGGCACGGGCTCGGTGGGTGCCGCGCTCGGACCGCTGCTGGCCACCCCTCTGACCCGCCGCTCCCCCGACAGGCACGGGCTCGGTGGGTGCCGCGCTCGGACCGCTGCTGGTCACCCCTCTGACCCGCCCCCCCCCCCCTCTTCCGCAGGCACGGGCTCGGTAGGCGCCGCGCTCGGACCACTGCTGGCCGGAGTCGCCTCCAGCGGCGACAACTGGACCGGTGTATTCGTCATCCTCATGTGCTCGGACGCCATCGCCATAGCGGTAAGAACGCCCCCCCCCCCCCGCCCATACACACACACACTCACAGCGGGCGGCTCCTTGGTGCAGGCCGGTCGCGACACCCACTGAGCTCGGCTATCTCTCTGTCATGATGCGCGCAGAAAGTCGGCTGGTAAACTGCGTTATGCGTATAACTGAAGTAGAGCATGTTAAACATTGAAGGTTGAACGTCGAACTGTTGGCTCATTGGCACTAAACTCATGCTGCTGAAGTCCTCCGATGTCAGTAAATTTAAAGCAGCTGCGAAGGTTAATGAGTTTGTATGAAGTTTAAATTTAAAATGAAAAGTAAATTAGAGGTTTATTAGAACTACGAGCAATGAGACATTTTCTCCTGCGAATTAGTATGTTCATGCTCACCGCTCATTGCCTTGATTGATGTGCAGTTCTTTATCTGACAGCTCGCTCATCTGTCTTGTTTCAGTCGCTCTCCTGGGTGCTGCGGCACGAGGTGCGGGCGATCCTGCGACGGAGAAGGGAGAGGTTAGCTGACGCCGCCGCCAACGAGCGGCCCTAGGACGGCCCTAGTCGCCTACAACGACCGAGCCTAGTCGCTCGCTACCGCGGCGTCCGTCAGCAACAGCCCTTCGTCCCTCAGCGGCGGGGGGCCGTGGCTGCCTTGGCGTATTCGCCGGCTGGTCGGAGCAACTGCGAGCGTTGCCTGCTGTGACGCCAGAGCGGTTGGTGCGGCGCCCTTCACTGGCTGGCCAGGGCTGCTGCGAGCGTTGCTGCTGTGGCCGCTTGCGGCGCCCCCTGCTGTCTGAGTAGGGCGGCCGGCGCTGCGCCCGTGTCTCAGCTGCGTGCGGCGGGCACAAAAGACAGCCGACGGGTGGTCCCCTCGGGCGCAGCGTTCCTCAAGGTGCCGCGCGGTGTGAGAGCATTGTCGACTGGTTTCAGGACACGCACGACTAGAGGGCAGATATCCTGGTGAATGTTCTCTCTGGAATAGACGTCTGACCAATTTTAAATTTATCGATGTTTTAAGATTTTTTTGTAGACTGTCGAATAATATCCATTTCAATTTGTGGGGCGATGTTTTTGCAGATGCGAGTACAATATTTATGTGTAATTTTGTGCATATTGCATCTGAATCACGTCACGTTACCCCGTTTTCTCTGTGCGCGTTCTTACATATGTCGTAGCAATGCCTAGATTGTAAATTTGATGTGTTGATTAGTACATCTCCCACCCTGCGTTTATCACTGCGCCGTTCTATGAGCCGCATCTCGGCCTCATTTGTGGGTGTCTGCTGCCTGCCGAGACTGTTACTGTATCTCCTATCGGGGTGCGGCTTTATATTGTAACTGTGTCCTTTGGCGCCGTCCGGATCCCAATATCGACAGGCGACGTGGAGATATTCTCGCCCAGTGTCGCTCGAATGCTGGAGTGGTCATTCCATTTTATCGTCGTAAATTGATTCCGCATTTGATTTGTTCCGGTCACATGCGATCAGTATTACGATGATTTACCATTCCTACCGTTTGTTTTTATCAACCGTGTGTGTTTTCCTGAATGAAGTAGGCAGATCATTTTATCTTGGAGGCTCATCAACTTCTGGGATCGGATATATATCAGGGATAATGTGTGACTGCTGTGGGATAATCTTGATCCCCCTTTGCAATCGTTCGCTACTCGATGTCGAATGCATGTTGGCTTGCGCACAGCTGTCAACAGTAAGTGGCTGTTACAGATGTATTTTAATGTTGTGTACGGTGTTGTGCATGTACTGTGGCTATGGCGGGCGTGTGCGGTCCCAATGAATACCTACCGTGGAGACGTTATGGAGACCGTGCCTCGGTCGTCACCCCACGGCCTGAGCGCGTGGCTCCCTCTGGTGAGCCGCCGGTCGACTGTCCTGTGATCGGTCTGGGTGGCGCGGCAAGGGCATCGGCTCGTAACTCGTGTGAGACAACAGATGGCTATTTCCAGTGTGGATATCTCATTAGTTAGAAACTACCAACGGTTATGCCAAAATACATGCTGAATGTATGACCGCATTTTGACTTGGGACTGGTAGGATGGGTAGGATATTCTAGTCATTGCCAACGGAGGTGAATCTAGCATCCAGACATGAACGTCACATATCGTCATCTAGGTAGTAGATTTCAACACTTTGGATATATGATGCCAAATAATGGTCGCTGAAAGAAGTGTTAAAATTGCATCGCATTGGCTGTGGCAGCGCCGATTTCACGACCACATTACCGGTATCGGAGTCTTCCTATGACTCCGAACTTGAACCCTATTTCTCAATTATGTCTCAAATATATCTGACTTACATTTGAGAGAGTTTTTATCGACATCAGCACTTGTTTGTCATGTTTACGCGTCAACTGGCATCTTGAATCGTGATTACCTTTGTCCTTTGACAGTCACCCTTCAATTTAATTCAATATGATCCATAATATGAAAGTAATTCCAGTTTGACATACATCAATAATGCTGGTCATCGTGGGAAACTGACGCATATGCTACAAATGAAGTTGACGCCGGTCCCCGATCCTCTGTTCAAAAAGCCATCTACAAAACATTCGTATCGTTTCCAACGCCTAACGTTGCCTAGCAACTCGCAGCTCCTTACGTATTCAGCGCTGTGATTGGTGTACACCGAACTGCTTTGCCTTAATAATTTCTTGAATAATGATAGTCGAACATATTTCCGTGCTTTTATAGCAAACTCATCATTACATTATGTGTATTTCGATCTGAGGCGAGTTCATAAAGGATTTTGACAAGGTGAATTGGAGCTGGGTTGCCTGTTATCGTCAGTCATCTATATTCTGTGATCTTGAATTTTCCTGTAATATGGTAAGTAAATTCCTTATAGATCTTTGGCTTTCTAAGGATTTTGAGTTAAGGTTTTACCTGATATCTGATTAATGGGATCGGGTGAGGCACTAGGATCAGTCGGGGAAACTATGGTAAAATCTGCTATTTTTAGCAGTCTGCTATTTTTAGCAGAAATCTGCTAAAAATGGGTACGCATGTGACGTCATCGTACCCAAATATAGCAGATTTGGGTACGGCCCCATACAAAAGCAGATCTGCACCCTAATTGAAGCAAATGCGCATCAAATGCCTGGCAGATTCATGATGAGAATAGTGCTGAGAGTGTTCTCTGCTATTTTTGTTCAGATCCGACTATTTTGAAATTCATTATTTAAAAATAGTCGGATCTGAACAAAAATATCAGAGGACATTCTCAGCACTATTCTAATCATGAATCTGCCAGGCATTTGATGCGCATTTGCTTCAATTAGGGTGCAGATCTGCTTTTGTCGGGGGCCGTACCCAAATCTGCTATATTTGGGTACGATGACGTCACATGCGTACCCATTTTTAGCAGATTTCTGCTAAAAATAGCAGACTGCTAAAAATAGCAGATTTTACCATAGTTTCCCCGACTGGGATTGCCTGGTAGATCCTTTTGATCGAGCTCGGGATGCATCAACAAACTTGGTCAATTGGTTCATTTGGTACTGGAATTCTGTCCAGTGCTTGTCAAGCCAGTTTTTGTAGCTGTTGACTGACGGTGCACAGACAATGTCTTAAGAGACCAGTCAGCAAAGTATAGCTCGCAGTTCGACGAGACACACTGGCCCAAGTTCAAAATCCACACCAATCCTTCAAACAGAGCCAGAAAATCCGCACCAGAGCCGGCTGAGAGTACAAAATACAATCCGCTCCAAACCCGCACAAGTGACCAGTTGAAAGCTGCACCGACCTCAATTATTGATATGAGCCACAGTTCTGCCCTCTCAGCAGAATGGAAACGAAACGAGTTGACCAAGACTAGAATAAAAAAGCATGTCACGCCAATACAAGAATCCTGTACGGTACCTGCCCCTGGCTATTCATCCAGGGTGATTATTGTGCGATGTACGTACCATGGTCACCCTAATGAATGGTGTTGACACTCTCATTTAGCTGAGCGGCTTGACAACTTGTGAAGGCCCCAGTTATAAAACTAAAAATATGAAAGCCAAAGAGTGGGCCTATCGCATTTGTATGCATGCATTTTCGGCATTTCTTGTTAGGTCATTGGCTATATCGAACAACAAATCTGAAAGGCAAGTCATTCCCAGTGGATTTTACTTCTTAGCCGCAGCCTTAGCCGCGGCAAAGTAGTGGTTGCCAAGGACTGTCATCAGCCATGCGCATCTCGCCCTACCTACCACCGAGCGACAACACCAAACTCTCACATGAGCCGAGCGCATCTCGTTCCCGAATGCTGCAGCGTGCGGAATGCAACAAACTCAGTTTCTTTCAACGCAACCTATTATGTAGCTGCGTCGAACGTAGGTAGGTACCCGATAAATTTTTCGCATTTGACTGCTTGAAGCGGCAGAGCGGTTATTTTCTGGCCCTCCCATCGGCCGTACAAATATTGAATCCCTCTCATCGGCCGTGCTCATCTCTCTCACTCTACCGCCGGTGCCTCGCAGAGCCAAGCGGTACGTTTCGTGTTGTAACAGTGCAAAAAGTGCGAACTTGCGGGCGACCCACGTGATTGATGGGACCACCAGCACTGGCAGTCCGTTCTGACCACTGCACACTCATTTCGACCCGAGCACACTGAATTACGTGATGTTGACTTGAAACTCCAACAATGTTTTTTTATGACTTTCCTCATCTATCTAATCTGGTCTGTCATGTCCGGGCCGTAACTAAGCCAATTCCGCACCGCACTTCACTAAATCCGCACCGCCCCAAGCCAAATCCGCACCGCACCGCACCGCACCAAATCCGCACCAGCCGATCAAGCCCGCACCGACGAGATCTCGTCGAAATTGCCATACTTTGCAGACTGGTTTAGGGAGGCCGTTCCAATTGGTCACTACCCGGGCTGAAAGGTGCTGGCACCGGCTGGTTGCAGGCTTTTTGGCGATCTTCAATCTGTGGCCGCGAGTACACGTCGTGAGTGCAGGCGTGAACAAACCCTCCTTGTTGAAGTGGCAGCGACCGTGGATGATGTTGTACGTTGTGATCATATCGCTGCGACGCCCGGTATTGCAGGGACGGAAGGTTCAGTTCTCTCAGCCTTTCCTCATACGGGAGGTGTCGGAGTTCGGGGACAAGGTGGTCCTGTCGCCTGTCCGCAGCATTGGACAGGCCCCATATCTGATTACAGTACTCCAAGTGCGGACGGACCAGTGGTTTGTACAGTACAGGGAGCGTTTTTCTGTCGATGTGGGCGAAGCTGTGCTTGATTAATCCAAGCATTCGGTTGGCCTTACCGACGGCAGCTGCTGTTTGTTCCCTAAATTTCAGCTGTTGATCCACAAGAACGCCCAGATCCTTCTCGACATCTACCACCTCCAGGGGTGTGCCTGCGATGGAGTACTCAGCCCGCGCATTACGATTGCCTATGTGCCAGACCGTGGTTTTAATGTTCTTATTAGGTATGATGTAGGCCAGACTTGAAAACGTCCTTACACTATGCCAGACGCCTGTGAAACCCTCTCGCGCCGAAATTCGACGCGAGCGATTTTGCGCTGAAATTTCTGTATGATTTGTGCCAGAAATTGGGTGCCGGCCAATTTGTGCCAAGTTTAAGCCACTTTTATATAAAGCACATGTGTACAATTACCAATCAAGGCTATATCAACCAGACAGAGCGTTCCCAGCCTGGGACGCTCTCCCATGTCTGAGCGTCTGAATAAGTTTGGTCAAATCCCTCTTTTGGCAAGCACATGTGTACAATTACCAATCAAGGCTATATCAACCAGACAGAGCGTTCCCAGCCTGGGACGCTCTCCCATGTCTGAGCGTCTGAATAAGTTTGGTCAAATCCCTCTTTCGGTTTGAGCGTCATCATGCTGCTATCACCACTGATATATAATGTAACCTGTTTTTCGCTCACAGGGCCAGCAGCAGTCGGGACCCGGCGGCGGTGATAAGAACAAAGACAAAGAGAAGAAGAGGAAGTATGAGCCGCCCATTCCCACACGCGTGGGCAAAAAACGCAAGAAGGTTAAGGGACCAGATGCTGCCAACAAACTTCCACAGGGTGAGATTTTTAGCATCAATTGTAGTTACCAAACTATATAGTAATGCGGGACGTACTAACCAGTAACCATGCTTTTAATAAGTTATAATTGATTGAAGTACATGCTGTTGTCCATTTGTGGTGCTTTGTAGGATGGCCTTCTAGCTAATATATGATCAAATGTCATGCTCTTTTTTAGTGACACCTTACACAAGATGTCGCCTGAAGCAGCTGAAACTAGAAAGAATAAAAGACTACCTTCTAATGGAAGAAGAGTTTATCAAGAATCAAGAGCGCCTGAAACCTCAAGATGAGAAGAATGAGGTAACACTAAACTGTGGCAATGCATGTCTCAGCCTTGACCTTTCAGCCCAAAGATATTTGTAATTATCTTGTCAGCTGCTTGGCAATCATGTACAGTGGGTCTATTTAAGATCTCCAGAGCCACCACGTGGCGCTACGGTCGGGGTAGGGCGAGTCCAAATCCCGAGGGAAGTGGGGTCACCGGTCATTGTGGGGGAAGGAGGGAGGGGGAGTGACGCGGTATCACGGCGCATGGGGCGTGCGTAGCGCCGGGAGTGGGCCGCCCAGGGCCGCCCGCCACTGCGCCGAGGCTGAGGGGAGGGGATGATGGTTGCGGGTGCGTTCACTCCGGTATGGTGGTATCCTGTTCATGTGGAACCGGCAAGAACGCGACTGAAGGGAATCATTATCTCAAACAAACGGGCAAGCCAGAGGCAACGTCAGTTCCAGCCAAAATGTTGAACAATGATAATTGAAATCTAGGACGTATTCATAGCATGCAACTTTTCAGTCGATAGTTGCATGATGCTTTTCATTATGCATGATGAGGCTTTTCTAAACTGTTATTTGAGTTAGATATTTTTAATTTGGCACGTTCAGTTTTGGTGGGTTTTATCGCGTCGAAAAGAATCAGAAAAGGAAAAAGAGTTGAAATGGCTCCAGACAAATGACCAAAAATATTTTCCTAAAAAATGAAACTTAGCTAAACGTTTATAAGCGATAATTTTGACTTTTGGGGAGGATATTAGGGAAAGATATTGGGGAAAGATGTCATCGTGCTTAGCTGTGTTGCAGTAGAAGGAAATGTTTTGGTTGTGTCTAGATAAAACCAGACCCGGGAGTGGGGCTCGAACTCACGACATCGCGTTCAGCTCACAGGTTACCCAACCTCAACGCTACGAGCACCTATCGCCCTGCGCAGCAGGCTCAGTGTTTCGGCTAAAGTTCGGCCAAAGTGTCTGACGTCTGTCAATGTCACGAGGCGAAACCCCAAGGTAAATGTCCGTCCCGGTAGCTCGGTCGGTAGAGCGTTGGACTCCATGTGCCATGTGGTGAAGGCGCACGTCCCGGTTGCAAAAGTCCGGGTTCGAAACACGACGTGTGCTTGATGTTTTTTAGTCTCCTGACGGGTATGGTTGTGGTTGGTGGCAGGCCGCTGCCAGGCGAAGTCAGTGAGGGGACCGGCCGTGCGCGGCTATGTGCGCAGTGCGCACGTTAAAATTTGGACTCTAAACCATAGACCATTTTGCCATAGACTAAACCTCAAAACCATAGTCTGCAATAGACCAGGAATTGCTTGATCGGAGGGTAGATGGCAGGGTCAACGCTTAACAAGCTCAGCTTAGCGGGGACTCCGTCCTTGTGATTCCTTCCATTCAAAAGGTTCGGACCAAATTTATATAAAAAAGGGGGAGCCGAACCAGGTTGGGCCGAGTTGAACCAGGCTGGACCGGGGTCATACATGCAATCATGGTCAGACAAAACAGAAGTGAATTTCGGGTCAAATGTTTTTATTAACTGATCTTATTGTTTTTTAGCTTACACGTATAATAACTTTTAGCTTTTTATAACTCGAGACTTCATGCACAGAAATGTGGCGTTCGCCCACTTTTCCTCATCGTCTCTTAGCGACTTGATTTCATGTGGCGGCGGAACGGGGGGGGGGGCATCGGGGCACCGTGCCCCCGTTTGATTTTGGCATTTTAACATTAGCCCTATGGGCGTTGCATGGAAAGAATGGGACCAAAAGTCGGCAGTGCCCCCACTTCATTAAAGGTGTTCGCCGCCACTGCTTAATTTGACCCTAAAGGCGTCTTACCAGCAAAAAAAAAAAAAAAATCACCTGCGTTATACCTAAATATTCGCCCAAGGGCGCTCTACGCAAGAAACGCCAGCCGGTCAAAAAACTGGCGAACGAATACGATTTTTCTAGTGCTTGAATTATATTCAATGAAAATTTCAGGAGACATAAATAATCTTATTCCTTATAGCTAGGCGCTCGGAGCATTCGCTAGCATTCCATTGCCAGCTGCATTATCAACGCCACATTTGCATTACTCTGGGTGCATCATAAGTAACAGTAGGTGAACCGGCCACAGCAAAACCATGCCTCATTATCCTTTCCTTTCAAGCTGCCAAGCTAACCGGCCGCCCGGCCCACCACCGCGATATGGAACAGCACTGGAGTGCGCCATTTGCCTACGGCAGTGCCCCACCGCGCTGGGGCTGTTTGACAGGTCACCCGCACCGTGACCTCGCCACCCGCCCCCCTCCCCTCCCCGCCCACCTCCCCATCGGGCCCAGCTCGGTAGTGACCTCTCCTTGAATTTGACATGGACTCGACTAAGGCTCAACGCCATCTAGTTACGTCTGGAGATCCTAATAAGATCCACTGTACAGTGGGTCTATTTAAGATCTCCAGAGCCACCACGTGGCGCTACGGTCGGGGTAGGGCGAGTCCAAATCCCGAGGGATGTGAGATCACCGGTCATTGTGGGGGAAGGAGGGAGGGGGAGTGACGCGGTATCACGGCGCATGGGGCGTGCGTAGCGCCGGGAGTGGGCCGCCCAGGGCCGCCCGCCACTGCGCCGAGGCTGATGGGAGGGGATGATGGTTGCGGGTGCGTTCACTCCGGTATGGTGGTATCCTGTTCATGTGGAACCAGCAAGAATGCGACTGAAGGGAATCATTATCTCAAACAAACGGACAAGCGAGAGGCAGCGCCAGTTCCAGCCAAAATCTTGAACAATGATAATTGAAATCTAGGACGTATTAAAAGCATGCAACTATTCAGTCGATAGTTGCGTGATAACAGTCTTAGGCTTTTCTAAAATGTTATTTGAGTTGGGTATTTTTTCATTTGGCACGTTCAGTTTTGATGAGTTTATCGGGTCGAAAAGAATCCGAAAAGAAAGAGTTTAAATAGCTCCAGAAAAATGACCAAAAAATATTTTCTTAAAAATGAAACTAAGCTAGACATTTATAGGCGAAAATTTTGACTTTTTAGAGACGATTTTGGGGAAAGATGTTGGCGAAAGATGTCATTGTGCTTGTCTGTGTTGCAGTAGAAGAAAAGGTTTTGGTTCGTGTCCAGATAAAACCAGACCCGGGAGTGGGGCTCGAACTCACGACATCGCGTTCAGCTCACAGGTTACCCAACCTTAACGCTACGAGCACCTATGGCCCTGCGCAGCTTGCTCAGTGCTACGGCTATAGTTCGGCCAAAGTGTCTGACGTCTGTCAATGTCACGAGGCGAAGCCCCTAGGGAAATGTCCGTCCCGGTAGCTCGGTCGGTAGGGCTTTGGACTCCGTGTGGTGAGAGCGCACGCCCCGGTTGCAAAAGTCCGGGTTCGAAACGCGACGTGTGCTTGACGTTTTTGAGCTCCTGACGGGTATGGTTGTGGTTGGTGGCAGGCCGCTGCCAGGCGAAGTCAGTGAGGGGATCGGCCGTGCGCGGCTATGTGCGCACGTTAAACTTTGGACTCTGAATTCTGCCATAGACCAGGAATTGCTTGATCGGAGGGTAGAGGGTAGGGTCAACGCAACAAGCTCAGCTGAGCGGGGACTCTTTCCTTATGATTCCTTTCATTCAAAAGGTTCGGGCCAAATATATATTAAAAAAGGGGGAGCCGAACCATGTTGGGTCGGGTTGAACCCGGAATTGGACCTGTGTCTTACACGCAATCATGGTCAGAGAAAACAGAGGCCAATTTCGGGTCAAATATTTTTATTAACTGATCTTATTGTTTTTTAGCTTACACACGTTTAATAACTTTAAAGCTTTTTTTTAATCGAGACTTTATGCACAAAAATGTGGTATTCGTCCGCTTTTCCTCATCTCCTCTCAGCGACTTGATTTGACCTTAAATCTTACCAGCAAAAAATAAATCACCTGCGTGATAATTATTTGCCCAAGGGCGCTCTACGGAAGAAACGCCAGCCGGTCAAAAAATTGGCGAACGATACGATATTTCTAGTGCTTGAATTATATTCAATGAAAATTTCAGGAGACATAAATAATATTAATCCTTCGGGCGCTCGGAGCATTCGCTAGCATTCCATTGCCAGCTGCATTACCAACATCATATTTGCATTTCTTTGGGTTCATCATAGTTGACAGTAGATGAACCGGCCACAGCAAACCCATGCCTCATTATCCTTTCTTCCAAGCAGCCAAGCTAACCGGCCGCCCCGGCCCGGCCCACCACCGCGATATGGAACAACACTGGAGTGCGCCATTTGCCTGCGGCAGTGCCCAACCGCGCCGGGGCTGTTTGACAGGTCACCCGCACCGTGACCTCGCCAACCGCCCCCCCCCCCGCCCACCTCCCCATCGGGCCCAGCTCGGTACTGACCTCCCCTTGAATTTGACATGGACTCGACTGAGGCTCAACGCCATCTAGTAACGTCTGGAGATCCTTACTAGATCCACTGTACCTGTGTACCTAGTTATGCTCTAACCATTGACATGAATGTTGTAAAATATGTTTGTTATGAATGCTCCAATATTGTATAGCAAGCAAATGTCTATTTTGACACTAAGATGGTGGTTATGGCGGTCTTGAGGATGCCCAAAGAAAAAGAATGAACATACATGAACAAGCTGTGAACGCATGTCAAATCTGTATTTTGCAATCCAATCAGTATAAACATTCCGACATACTCCAGCGTCACCTAGGTTTTCTCGTTCTCCCTCTTTCATTTTTCCTCGCGCCCATCTCCTCTCTGACTCTCCCTCCATTGCTGCCCTCTGACCACCCCCTTCTCCCCCCCCTCACCGCTCGCAGGAGGAGCGGAACAAGGTGGACGACCTGCGCGGCACGCCCATGTCCGTGGGTAACCTGGAGGAGATCATCGACGACAACCACGCCATCGTCAGCACCTCGGTCGGCAGCGAGCACTACGTCAGCATCCTCAGCTTCGTCGACAAGGACCAGCTGGAGCCCGGCTGCTCCGTCCTCCTCAACCACAAGGTCAGCGGCGGGGCAACCGGGGAACCTATAGCACTGTGGAACCTGTAAACATAGCACTGTGCAGCTGTGGTCATTATCATAGACGAATGGTGATGGTGGGATTTGAAATGTTGGAGTGCTCCGAAAAAGCACACTGCTTACTTTGTGAGTTTTTGTATAAATGTGTATGCCTTAGACCAAAGGCTGTGATAACGAACATGGTTTTCCTGGCAAGAAACCACATCCCCGATGTTCGGGATGCTCTCTTCTTTCAGGGCTGCTTGTTCTGTTTGTGTGACTTTCAGCCTGTGTCCAACTCCTTCGTCACGTGCATACCGTGATCGATACTGCGGTATCCACCGCTCACTGTAAAATGCCCGCCCCTCGGTCAGGTTCACACAGTGATTGGTCCTTCTCAGTATTGATGTCCATCCCCCTCTGTCAGGTTCACGCCGTGATTGGTTCTATTTAGTGTTCACTACTCTTTGTCTGATGTCCACCCCGTCCGTCAGGTTCACGCCGTGATCGGCGTCCTGTTAACTGTCTAATGTCCACCCGTCCGTCAGGTTCACGCCGTGATCGGCGTCCTCTCGGACGACACGGACCCCATGGTCACCGTGATGAAGCTGGACAAGGCGCCGCAGGAGACGTACGCCGACATCGGCGGCCTGGACGCCCAGATCCAGGAGATCAAGGAGTCTGTGGAGCTGCCGCTCACGCACCCCGAGTATTACGAGGAGATGGGCATCCGGCCGCCCAAGGGCGTCATCCTGTACGGCGCGCCCGGCACCGGCAAGACGCTGCTGGCCAAGGCGGTGGCCAACCAGACGTCGGCCACCTTCCTCCGAGTGGTCGGCTCCGAGCTGATCCAAAAGTACCTGGTAAGTACGTGTCTGGGAGCGCACGGATAGGGATTGATTGGAAGGCTGGGTGTTATCAAATTTGGGAGTTGGGGCATTATAAAACTATTAGGTGTAAGCTGCCGTAGTGAAATTAAATCATTGTCGTGTAAGCGCAGTGCTAGCTTGGGGCAGCTGCACGCTGCTTCACGGGGTGATGAGAGACTGTCGTTTCGGTGTGTCTGCATGCTCGTATCGAAAAGTGTATCGAAAAGGCACGTTGACGGTTCAGAACTGTACCCCGCTAATGCATAAATTGTTTCAGTTTTATTGGAATGATTCTCTGAACGTCCTCTTTGAGCGGAAATCCCCCTCAGATTGCCAATGCAGGTGGCACACGCACACTTTCTGATCTTGATCCGTGTAATATCCATCCCCGGCGAAACAGTTCATTTGCCTTCCGTTGCGTACGAACACCGACACTGACCCTACGCGCGCCTCTCCCCAAGGGTGACGGACCGAAGCTGGTCCGAGAGCTGTTCCGCGTGGCCGAGGAGCACGCGCCCTCGATCGTGTTCATCGACGAGATCGACGCGATCGGCACGAAGCGTTACGACTCGAACTCTGGCGGCGAGCGGGAGATCCAGCGCACCATGCTGGAACTGCTCAACCAGCTGGACGGATTCGACTCGCGCGGCGACGTCAAGGTGGGTCCTCCGACGGCAGGGCGTCCGTCATGGTAGAGGAGTGGCTGCGGCCGAGCGCAGGGCCCATAGTGGGATCTGTTGGAAATAGGTGGCTTCGCTTTCGCCTTTCATGATGTCATGTTTCAGGAGTTTGGAACCTTATTGGTATTACATCGTGTTTTGACTCAGTTCGTCTGATCTATGACCGGCTGACCCCCACTTGGTGTGGGCGCTAAATTCCCTTTGCCGGTCCGGGATGTGTCGCTCGTCGTGCTCCCCCTTTTCCTTTGTACTGCTCTGTATCCCTTGTGCCCAGGGATACACGGCTCTATCTGCCCTCTTCCCCTCCACGCTGCCCCTTTTTCCGCTCCATCTGCCACTTGTGCCGGTCTTTCTGTCCCTCTGCTACTCTGGCCGTCCCCTCCACCGCTCTGTATGACCCCTTGTTCTCCCTCCGTCAGGTGGTGATGGCGACCAACCGGATCGAGACGCTGGACCCGGCCCTGATCCGGCCCGGACGGATCGACCGTAAGATCGAGTTCCCGCTGCCGGACGAGAAGACCAAGCGGCGCATCTTCCAGATCCACACCAACCGGATGACGCTGGCCGACGACGTCAACCTGGACGAGCTGATCCTGGCCAAGGACGACCTCAGCGGCGCCGACATCAAGGTGCGTCCACCCTGGGTGGGCGGTTTATAGTCAGTGGCGGGTCTTTGGAATGGATACGGAGGTAAATTTGGGATCAAGAGCCTTACGAGGAAACTATTATCCATGGGACAGAAGAAAAACATAAAAATATTAACAGACATTAGCCTCAAAACACATATGCAAGAAAATGCGTACAAAACCATTGCAAAGGAAAGTTGTGTTTAGCAATGGCCTTATAATTTCGATCGTATTGTACCTTCACTTGCTCGTGGATAAGGAATAAATGGTCCTCCTGTTCGACACCGACACGATCTCGTCTGTGCGTTCGTCTTGACTGACCGTGTTCGGTCTGTTTCAGGCCATCTGCACGGAGGGCGGACTAATGGCGCTCCGCGAGCGGCGCATGAAAGTCACCAACGACGACTTCAAAAAGTCCAAGGAGAGCGTGCTCTACCGCAAGAAGGAGGGTACCCCGGAGGGTCTGTATCTGTAGGAGGGGAGGAGCGCGGCGCGGCGCTCCCGGCCGGTGTCAGCTGTGTATCCTCGCGCTGTTCCGCCGGGGCAGGGCTCTCTCCTGGCCGGCCCGGCTGGCCGTCAGCCCTGGGGCTCGGTGTCAGCCCTCCGTGTAGGTATCTCAGCACTGTTCCGCCGGGCGGTGCTCCCTCCCGGGTGGCCGTTCGACTGTGACCATGCTGCGTTGCTATTTGAATACACTGTCGGAAAAGGACCACGTAATGTGCTCTGTCGAGGCGAGTGATCCGGCACGGTGTACTTTTGAACGCTGGCTGGGTTTTGGCTGGTAGATTTACGAATATTATACCCAGCACATTGCTTTGTCATAACACGCTTTGTTAATGAACGAACGAGTGTGACAATGGGCTCTGAAAATCAAACAATGCACCAGCAAATGTACAAGATGAGCTGTTTGAGCTCAGTGGGTGTTTTGTATCCTGCTGATCCCAAGCGGCATAATACCAACATTAGCCCGCGCCCCGCCGCCGGGTCATTCAGCCATACATCTCCCGCTGCACTGGGGGGGGGGGGGGGCAGATTCTGCTCTCCTCTGTCTGATTTCCGAACGGATGGTCGTAGAAAGCCCTACAACCTATCGAACGTCTATCGAAAGCTCTCAACAATACGGTGTGCAATTTATTTGCCTTAGTAGGTCACAGGTTAGTTCAAGTATAAAAACTGCAAGTTTCTACATAACTGACTTCGGAGCCCAGCTGGCGAAGAATGGACTGAGATTGATACTGCCCTAACTACTTCTTGGCTACCAAGACAAGATGCATTGCATACAATGTCATGCAAGTGTCAAGGTCATGGTCAGGCCAGGTCAACAAAGGCGGGAGAGTAAAATAGGATACGTACGACTCATGTAGTTTCGTAGTTTCGGCCCATGGGTTTCGGACTTAGGATCGAGGGGGGCTATGAAGAGCCCCCCCCCCCCCCGTAGGGCGCGTTATACTCAGACCCCAGTGGGGCGCGGGTTAATTAACCCTCGCCGGAAGGGGGTTGATACAACCCCCTAAGTTTTTTCGCAAATAACTCGCGTTGCGGCCGATCGCGACGAAACTTCCAGTACCCTCGCAGTGATCAACTTTCTACCCTAAAAAATTTCATGACCCTGACCCAAATGACCTTTGACCTGTGACCTGCTTTTCGAGACCATGTTTGGCCGGAATCGCGATTCGTCGTATGTCGGCTCGCATTAGCCGCGCGTTTGCAGTCTTTTCGTGGTTTCAAGCGTTCAAACATGTGATTTGATGCTTCTCCCATTGCATTAGGGTCGATGTCAAGGTCACCTGAAGGTCAGTTCAGGTCATTGACCTTTGATGAACTCGGTCCACTTTTTCGAGCTTTACATGTTTCTAGGCTAGGTTTTTTTAGCTGAATTCGAATTTACCAGCTATTTGAACATTTACGGAGTAATTTGGTGCCTTCGTAACATGTTACGAAGCTGTCAGAGGCGGCTGACACGTAGGAGAGACCCGGGAGGTATGGGCCCCCTGGAGGTATGGGCCATCGCAGTTTTGAAGAAGTTTTGCGTATTTTTTTCACATTTGACTCCGTGAATTGGTAGCAGCCATTTCGTTATACCTACACCCCACGTGATTTCCAAAATCTTCCTCAGGCTCCTTTGGCAAAGAGCGGTGATAAAGCGTTTTTGCCCTTTTCGAGCAAAATACGGTACGTACATAAATTTCGAGATTTATGTGAACGAGGCTCGTTTTATTATGTCACACCATCGCTAACATAAAGTTTAACTCGGCGGGAGCTGGGCCTCCGCGCCACCCGCCGGCCACTGGGGGGGGGGGGCATATAGTTGCCCCCTTTACTTCTGCGACGATATCATCGCAATTCGCAACGCGAAAAGATAGAGAAGCGAAACTTTGCACGTATATTTTTGAATACTTAGCCGAGGTTGTGTCCACATTTGGTGTCGACCCCATTTGAAATGACGTCATAGTGACGTCAGAAGTCAAATTATGAATTTGGGACTCTCAGTTTCCTCACGATATATCCGAATTCCGATATATGAGACCGAATGTAAAGGACCGATTATTGGTCAGGACTAAAAAAATGTCGTGATTTACTGTCGAAAAAGATCTTCAACTTTTGCATAAAACGTTTTCGGTTCAGGTCAATATTGAGGTCACCAGAGGTCATCACCGATAAAATGTTTTGGAATTAGTTACTTAGGTATATAACTTTTGAACTAAGAAACATAGAGACATAAAATTAATACATTTTTTGTTGCTCTCGTCGAGGCGATGCGAAATAAGTATGCGATGACCCTCACAGGTCAATTTGAAATTTGACCCGAGGTCAAGGTCAGGTCATTCACCACTGAGGTTGTGGGGTATGGTCATGTTGCACACCCAACGACGCGCCTTGACAAGGCGAGCAGTTTGGTACCGCTTACAGGTCTTTAACACCATCATGTCGTGATTTATTGACAAAAAAAAACTATTTATGACGTCACATGACCTCCGATGACCTTTCTCTGTGCCCCTGGCCCTGTCAATAAGCGGCACCAGGATCATCACCGATGAGATAATATTCCATAATACTGAAAGAATAGGGTGGTTTTGACTCGTTTACACGAAGCAGGAGGCATTCCAATATTTTCCCATAGGCTTGCAATGTAAATGTCACGAGTCTGGCCTGACCTCAGGTCACAGATATAAAAATTCTGAGAGATACAAATTGCACATACTGGTACCCTAACTAAAACCTGAAGAGATGAAATTGATCAGTCAAAAACTCTAGCTCTGACGTGAGTGCAAACTTCTCAGAGGTGGTGTCAGCAAACCGCCTTTTGTTGACCTGACCTGAACTGACCCGGCAACTTTCTTTTTTCAACAAACAACGCGGGGGCCTTAAAGGCCCCCCGCCCGGAATAGGGTTAAGTACCTACTGTGGTTTCAAAGCACAAAAGTGATGAACGTAGCGGATATCTCCAGTATTTTCCGAATCGAATATTTTCCCATAGACTTAACCCTCGCCCCGTTGGGGGGGGGGGCAATTTGGCCCCCCTGTGATTTTTCCTGAATAGCAAGAAAACGGCGGCACGCAGCGCCGCCAAATTTTCAGTACCTTCCCGGGCATCAATTTGACACCTTCACACCAAATTTCAAGTCTTAGGTCACCTTAGGTCAGGAGTTATTGAGGCCAAACTGAGGTCATGTTCGAGCAAAAATGAGCAAAAAAAACATGCAATCTTGAAACGCTCACCAAATCTACAGTTACCAAGCAATTTCAAAGTTCTTTATATGGTCTAGTAGACAAAAAGCGGCGCTACAAAACTGTAATCTCAGAATTTCAAAATTTTGGGTTTTGAACCCCAAAAATTCAAAAAATTGATTTTTTGGAAAAAAAAAACTTTATTAAAAAAAAATCCGAATTTCAAAAAACGGAATATATGTCATAGTCCCTGCGCTCTCCTATATACATACCAAATTTCAGACCGATATCTCGTTTTTTTGGCCAAGTTATAGCGAAAAACTGTTCAAAAATGATGACGTCAAATTTTTTAACTCAATTTTTTTGCGATTCTAGACCACGTAGGGCAAAACAAAGACCACCATTGAACTCCCCGTATTTCTGTTTGAGTAGTGGATCTTAACCCGGCACCGCCTGGGCTATTTCCGTACCCACGACAGCCTGGGGGGGGGTCGGATCCGACCCCCCCCTGTTATCTCGAGAACCAATGGTCGTATCGAGCCCCGCGAGGCGGCGTTCGAAAGGTCTCTACGAGACCTTCCCAAAGCACTCTTAAGATTTTAAGATTGAGGTCAACTTTCGGGTCAAGGTCAGGTCAAAGGTCAAATTCAGGGGTTTTGCATGATTAGGCTTACGGACAGCGGAATCGATAGCTGCTGCTCGAAACTCACCACAAATGACCTCAAAGACCTAGTAAAGGTACCATGTGCGTATAGGGGTCATACTAAGTACGGGTCAAGGTCAGGTCAGGTCACGAAAGGTCACGGTTTTCACTTTCTGCTACATGGGCGTGCGACACATGTTTTATGGCTTATTTTTCACGCCAAATCCGATGGTACCTAATGGTTATATGTGACCCCAAGTCACTGTGCTGGTGATAAGTGTGCATTGAAAGCATAAAAAATCGTTTATACCATACATAACTATGTGAGAAATTTGGTTTCCGGCTGCGTTGGACTGCGAAACTTTCGGAGCACTCCGAATTCCTCGGATAGACGGTGCAAGGCTACCTGACAGCTGACTTTTAATGACAAGCAGACGCCAGTGGTGAGCCTGTTCTGTCTCTGTCTGTCTTTCCCTACCTCCCTCTCTCTCTCTCTCTCTCTCTCTTTCTCTCTTTCCTTCTCTCTCTCTCTCTCTCTCTCTCTCTCTCCCTCTCTCTCTCTCTCCCTCTCTCTCTCTCTCTCTCTCTCTCTCTCTCTCTCTCTCTCTCTCTCTCTCTCTCTCCCCATGCATACATTATGGCGCGCGCGGCTCGGGACAGCCGACGCCCGGCAGGCTCTGCTCTGAAGGACGCTGTGTCCTAAATATGAGGCTATTATGTATGCGTGCCAGCGCGGCGACGCCATGAATGCTTTTAGTGCGTTTGTCGTAACCTTGTGGAACAAATAATGATTTAACGTTATCTTTGGAGCGAATTTAGACTTAATTCCTACATACTTCTAAAAGTACCGCAGACTTTGCAATAAATTGGGAAGAATTATGAGACCTGGGAACCGGGGAAGGGTGACTTTACTCCTATTCACAGTACTAGCACAGGCGCACGGAGCCCTGCATTCTGCAATGACATGCAGGCAATGAACGTTGGAGTCGAGCCGTGACGCTCGAATCAATGGGCGACCAGCCGGAGATGCGCTCAGGTTTCGCTCTTCCCCCTGGAAGGAGATGGACGGCGCAATGGTGGTCCGTCGTCGATTACGACCAGTCCGAATCTACATATGCTGGGTGCATCAGCACAGGCGTCGGGCGTGGCAAGGATTAAGCTTCACCTTTCAACGGTAACATCGTCTAATTCAATCATCTCTCAACTTCTGTCAGTTTCGTCCATGTTAACTGACATCCAGTCAGGTGTCCAAAGAGCAGTGGACAGTATCAACGGACAGGTGGTAACTGGTAAACCTTTCGCGAGTCGCGATGGAGGCGCGACAGGGGTGACATATCGTGCATATCTTGCGATGGAGACGTAACAGTGACGGGATACCGTGCAGTGTTGCCGATCGG